TAAAAAGTACTTCTAATAACAACTATCCAAACACTCACACTTCTCAAAATCACTTTTTCACAAAATCTATTCTTCCCAAAATCTATTTTTTTCATAATCTATTCTCCAGAAGCTATTTTCTAAACCATGGTTTGGTTTCATCCAAACACACCCTAAATGAAAAGAACAGACTTTGTCCTCTAATCAATTGCTCAATTTAAGGTCTCTCTGGCTGATCAATACAACTATATACTACTTCCGTTTCTAATTATAAAAGCCAGTTGACTAATTTGAAGAGATTAAAAAAGTAAGTTGAGTCAGTTATTTGTCCTAAATAGGTATTGTCTTTCCTAAAATATTATTACTAATCAAGTGTATTAACTAGAATTATAATTATTAGAATAACTATCTTGAAAAAAAAATTGAGTAAATATGAGAAATAAAGTGGATTGAGATCTTATATTTAGGATTAAAATAAAACTCAAATAGGATCTTATATTAAGGATAAGAGGTAGTATATGGGATAAGGGACTTTATTGTTTGGAATTCCAACATTGTAAATCTTTTTTAATTTTAATATCATTTTATCTTTTTACCAAAAAAAAAAAAAAGAGATGTGGGACATCTTCATTTTGTGACAGGCACGACTTCCGACATGTGAATTATTACTATTATTTTTTCACCCACAAATGGCCAAATCTGAATTATTATTAATTGCTGAACACGTTATATTAGCTACCTAGACTCAATATGCATAGGGAGAAATCATGATGTGATTTTAAAAAATATATATAATTACTAAAACTCTCACAATAGGTTAACGAAAAATTTTAGTGTAAAAAATGACAAAATTTATAATGCTTATTTATTATTAAGATTTTATAATAATTAAATTATTAGCTAAAATATACATTGGATCTTTTAACTTTATGTAAGGTTTCAGTTTGGTCCATTAACTTTAAAAAGTATACTTTTAGTCTTTTAATCCTAAAATTTTTGTCTTAAATGATGATTTTTTATAATAATCATGATTGCTTTGAAAATTAAAATTAATATTATAGCATTTAATAATATTTTATCAACATTCAAGAGCTCAATATCATCATTTTTTGTTAACGGTTTTAAGGTTAAAAAACTAAAAGTTTATTTTTAAAGTTAAGAAACCAAAATAAAACTTTATGTAAAGTTAAAGGACCAGAAGTATACTTTAGCCTAAATTATTTTTTTATGTTTTCACATATAATTATTTGTGGTCGGTCACCTTTACCAATTTGAGAATAAACTAACAATATCTCGTGTAAGTTAAATACTACTTCTTGATATTTAACATAAAATTTATCTTGTAATATAAATTATATTATAAAATAAATCTTCCATCGCAAGAGGCAGTAGCATTGATATTTGACGCGCACATGCATAATTAACTATATGCGTGGCTACCCTTTGGCCATTAAGTTCATTTAGATCATCATCAAATTGCTCCGTTTTTTTTTTCGGACCCGTCCCTTTCCTCACTTTTGGAGCACTTGTCCTCCTTTATTCATTAAAAGATCTATCTCAAGTTGTTAATCAGCCTCTTTTATTGCTGGAAATCGCGGGAACCCTTGTGAAGGAAACTAAAGAAAGGATGGGTTCCTATTGTATTGAAAGGAGAAGTGCCTCCAACTAGTGCCCTTGCTTTGCAAGAAGCTTTGATTTTCGCTCTGGTTACTTATCTGAGCATTGTCCAATTTGAATTGGAAAATTCAATGCTCATAAGTTGTGTCAATCAACAACGCAAGTCTCCTTAATGATGATGTGATCTTCTCCTGAAGAATATACTGGTCTGAAGGAATTTCATCCGAAACCACTCTTGTATTTGGATTCCCAAACGTGCAAATATAGCAGGTCGTACCCTTCAATTTGGGTGCTGCAACTCCCATTTCCTCAACAGAAGCCTCTTACGATACTTTTATGTCTAGTTTCTTTACTGTTTATTATCTCTGTAATGCTTTTCAGGTTTTATTTTCTTGCTTTATACTAATGCATCGTGATGCAGTATTTATGATAATGAATATTTTTTATTGGCAAAGAAAAAAAATTAAGTTCGTTTAGATCCTCATATAAATTATAGGCTTCATCTAAGTTGGAATTAAAGGATATTTTTGTCTTTCAATTATTCACTCGAGATATTAAGTATCTTAAACTATTAAGTGCTGTGTTGTCTTTTTATAAAACATTATTTGTCATTTTGACTGTTAGTTAATAAAAAAAATACCTCCAAAAATTAGAAATATACCCCGAAAATAATTAATATTAATTATATAATTCTTAAAAATTAATAATAAATGCTAAGAGGCTAATATTATTTCTTACCCCGGCAAAAAAAATATATTAAATAAATTATTTCTTACCAACATAAAAGACCAAAATACCATTTTTACTTACCACTTTAATAATAATTAAATAAATTAGATGCATTTTCTTGTGCATTATATCAAATCTAAACAAATAATTACACTATTTTATCAATTGTGAATAATATTTTTTCTGAATTATATTGACCCTAAACTGGCTCTAGCGTGTCTCTAACCGTATTTTGCAAACTCCAGTCGCAAAATGCGCGCGCCTTTATTGTGCCCCATGGTGACGATGAAAAGTTAACACGAAAGTGGACTTCGGTTTCAACAGTGTTTATTAAATATTAAAAGTAACCATGGTCCTCATCACTTTCACTTAACCAACACTTTCAGATTTAATTTTTTTAACTAATTATTTTTTGAAAAAATAATTAAGACATTATTTTTATTTTAAATTTTGTACTTATTCTCATAATTATTTTCGAAGCATAAAAATCTAGATGGATCAAATATGATAAGTATCAAGTGATTAAAGAACTGAATGGGACCAAACCAGACAGCTCGACTGATTGAACCGTTAATGGGATCAAACCGGACAGCTCAACTGATTGAACCGTCAACTGGACTTGTTAACGGTTTAGTTTGGGAAAAAAATTACTTATATGATTGAGTCAGATTAGATTGGAGTTGAACCGTCATTAAGTCGGAACCCGGAGTTTGACTTGGAAGTGAAACGGTTTTCAGAAAGCTGAACAGTTTTTTAGCCTAATTGGAAAAAAAACACTTAAAATTAAAAAAATTATGAGAAAAATAAAAATTTGAACCCCTAAAAAATCCTAACATTTTTTAGACTATTTATAACTATAAAATATTACTCATTTGGTTTTAAATATAAGATCTATTTTATAGTGTAAATTACACTAGAAAATAGGTCCTATATTTAGGTGTACACTACATATATTTAGGAGTGAAAAAGTATTTTATTAAACATACATAAATTTAAGGATTAAAGTGTAATTTTAACAACAAAATTTATTCTAAGGGGTAGTGGGCACCATAAAGTTTATATGGGTACAAAAATAGATATAAAGTTGCCAAAAGATAGCATCTGGCATCACGCCGTTAGCGTCCATTACTTTACTGTTACAGGGATCCATGAAGTCAATTTTAAGATGCATTTTCAACAACAAAGTTTATATCAAAGGACATGAGGCATCATGAAATTTATTTGGATGCAAAAATATATATGAACTTTCTGAAAGGGAAAAAAATAACTAAATTCTCTAACTCCTATAAACGTCCATTAATTTTATTTTTTTGGGTCTCACTAAATATCATGTTTTCTCTCTACTTATTCTTACTTCCTCTTCTCCTTAGTGTAATGGACAAAGTTGGAAAAAAAAAATCAAAGAAGTAAAACAATTACTTAAGTATAGCTTATAGTATATGATCTCTCTAAACTATTTATATGCATCATTAGATTATATATTAGTTTATAAGCCAAACCAATTAATTTGGAGAAAAATGATAAATGTAATACTTTAAAGTAATTTATTTAATTTCTTTAATTTTCTCAAATTAGTCTATTACATCCTATATCAAGGACTGGAGGTAGAACTTAGGTACAAGCAATGAACCTCATATCCTAAAAGGGAAAGACATCGTTTTGAGTAAATACATATAAAAGGCTTGGAGGTTAAGAAAACGACATGACAAAAAGAGTGTGCGTGTTGACTATGATGAGAGAAAGATGGATCAACTTGGAGCTGAAAATTAATGGAGAGAAAATATGGCATTTGGTGAGACCCAAAAAGATAAAATTAATGGAAGTTTATGGGAGTTGAAGAATTTTGTTATTTTTTTCCTTTTAGAAAATTCATGTATTCCTCTGGTCTTATTTATAAGACACTTCCAATATGTTTCATACAGACTAAAGAAAACCTTAAACTGTATTAATTCTTCGTTAAAATATAGCAAATTTTCAACTTTACCCCTATTTAATATATACAGCTTTCAAAAAAATAACTATCTACACTATAATAAATGAAGGACAATATATGGTATATTCATGGTGAAAATTTAATAAAGTGACTTATAAATAGGATTAAAAAAAAATTTCTCTCTCTACCCTATAAATAGAACCAAAGGAGTATATTTTCATACCCAAGTAAATTTTATGGTGCCTATTGCTTCGTGATGTAAACTTTGTTGTTAAAAATGCACTTTAAAATTCACTTTGCGGGCCCCTCTAACAGTAAACTAATGGATATTAACAATGTGGTGCCAGATGCCCTATTTTGACAACTTCATGTATATTTTTGCACCCAAATAAATTTCATAGTGCCCAATGCCTCTTGGGATAAATTTTGTTGTTAAAATTACACTTTAACCCTAAATTTAAATATATAAGGTTTTAGTGCATTTTTAATGATTTATGAGTTATGAGGTATATTCTTATATTAGTTTATCAAGTCACCGTAATTTTAGATTACCTCAATGTATTTCTAAATTATTTAATAATTTGGTATTTATATATATTAATTATACATATATAATATTATTTTTAATTAATTATTGTATCACTGGTTAGACCGGTTAGATTGATCCAACCATTTAAATCATGATCTGTTGATATTTTCATCTGAAGTTTTGATCGGGCTTCTAAAACATTGTTAAAACAAATTTGATCCATAAAACCATAGCCTTCATTTATTTATACCCTTCAACGCTCCATTACATAGGCCCACATAAAAACACAGCACAAACTAAACTGGAAACTCCAAAGCTCATTATTCTTACATATGAATCCTTCTCAAAAGCAAAGTTTTCAGTAAAGAAAACCCCTGATATTTTCAAAGCACACATGGATTCACACATATTTGACTCGCTGTTCGTTAATATTCAATGTTGGAGCTTCCAAGCATCTCAAGATGAACATCAGAAGAAGAACCTAATGGACAGAAAACAACTCTGTAATTGGAACCAGCAGGGCAAGTGAAAGTGCTTGTAGGATCATCCTGAGGATAACTATAAGCATCCTGACATCTATCTTTGAAGAACCTCGAATATCTCGTCGGTCCACAGCTACCTGGTCCATTAGTACAGCAATATTCATTTGTCTTAAACACTGTGCAAGGATTGTTACATCCTCCTGGTGCCTTTAATTCTCCAGGACATTGTCCATTAATGTCTGCCGTACAGCTGATCTTGTGGCAACCTCCGTTCAGAGGGTAGAAATCCATGGGGATATTGAAGCCATCCACTAAGGAGATGTCGTAGAAATCTTGGTTGGCGAATTGGTTTAAGGCGAATTCGGCCAGTGTGTTCGGAGGGACGCCCCAGCCGGTGCATTGGAGGCCGCCGGTGCAATCACCTGTCTGGCAGCGGCCGCGGCCGCTAGAGTCAAAGTTGCAACCAGTGCGGCCCCAGATGCGAGCCATGGCAGTTCCGGGATTCACCCCGAGGTTCCATATCTGGCCATGGTCAAGGCGGCGACCACCGCCGGGACTAGCGGCCGCCCAGACAGTGTAAGGACAGTTGTTGAGGATCTCGAAATTGGCTGCGTGTGTGGAGATGAAAGAGATGAAGAGGAGGGAGTAGAAGGTGAGGATGGAAGAGGAAGCCATGTCTCGTGAGATTTTAGTGAGATCAATACCATCGTGGGAAGGATATATATACATACAGCACAGTGAAAGAGGGACGGGCGCGGCTATAGGTTATATATATATATATATAAAATTTATTAGGTCCGGGGCTGCTATAGTACTATTTAAGGACAAAGAGGATAAGAGAGGATAAGATATTAGAAATTATTACATGTTGTCATGTTTTTGATTGGCGTGTCGCGGAAAACACTCCTATGAATAGTTATTCAATTCAAAAATATTAATCCATTTCTTAGAGCATCTTATTTCGGTATCTGGGCATTTTGTTTCTCTTTATTACTACTCTCTATTTTTAATATAAAAATTAATTAAAAAGTTAAATTTTGTTCTAAAAACAAAAACTCAATTCACTTTATTTTTTAAATTTATAATTTTTTCTAACATCTCCATTGTTTGTAAATACTAAAGAGTTACTACTAAGGAGTACTTCCATAATGCATACATGATTAAAGAAAAACCAACACATAATTATTATGCATAATCAATATAATTAATTTTTTTTAATATTTTTAAATTAGTTATCTAACGTATATTAAGGATTAAAATTAAAGTAGTTAATTAATAGATGAATTATCAATCTTTACTCTGAGATGTAATTGTGTTAGGAAAAAAAATCTAAAACAAATTTTTTGGTAAAAATTATTATGTAAAAATAATAATAATTTGTGGTACATTATTATTTATTTAGACTAATATTTGGAATATATCATTCAATGTATATCAACTTGTTAGTTCTAGAAAAGAAATTTATTTATTTTTAAGTATAAAGCATTAAATGATCAAGCGGACAAAACACCTGCCAAAGCACTTTCTGTCATAGGTATGAAATGAACTCAGAACGATCAAGGAAGTCATGAGAAGATTAATGAGTTCAACGACTGGACCTTTGCGTTTTACAAGTAAATAAAACTCAGCAGTTATAAATAATAGTACGTCCAACTGTCCAAGACAATAAAGGTAAAGTTCTAAAAAAATGATTATTCAAAGCTCACGTTTGCCCTTTCTCTATTGTAATTTTATATGGAGGCTGATTTGTACTTTATTTAGTGATAAACAAAATTCAATCTAGAATTAAAAAGTTATTTTTGTAATTTTCATTCACTTGAAGGGTTACTTAAAGTAATAAGACAATGAGGAATTGTTACCTTACAAATAGTAAAAGAGATTTAAAATTTTCGTGTTCCCAACTAAAATTGGAGAAGTGGTTCTAAATGCCTACTAAAATTTGAAAGAAATTGAAAGTGATTTCACAAGTGCTCGAAATGAACTTGTAAGCTGTAGTGATTTTCAATTACTCGATTTAAATTTAAAGGACATAATATGGATTGAAAATATTAAGAATGCCTATAAATCAGAAAAAGGTCAATATTGGAGAGATCAAAGGAGAAAAAATTCTGTGTTTATCTTCTGCCATGTGATGCAAAGTTTTGATACCTCTTACTCTCTCTTTTTTATTTAGTTTATTTGAATTGAATCTAATTTTTCATGTCACTTAGCTCACTCTTTGGGTGTTTTCTACCAAAAAGTTTTATATCTTGAACAATGGGGGATGAAGATTGAGGACATTCTGCCGTTGAACCGGAGAGCCGGTCCCTTTTTATAAACAAAATATCTTTTTGAGGTTTTCAGTTATTTCATTAATTATTTTTGGGTGCAATGCATATTAGTTCTCTAATTTTACCTGACGTTTTATTTTAGTTTTTAACTTTTGTAAAATACTTTTTCGTCCTTAAACTCCACTAACATTGCTAGTTTTATTAACAAAATAAAAATGTCCACATAAAAATTTTGAACGTTCATAACAACTTTTTAAAATACTAACATATTAAATTTAATGTTTTGGAATAATAATGATGGGCAAAAAAAATTATTATTTGATAATAACAATATCAAAATCAGAAAATTAAAAGGCTACTATAAGATTATAGAATCAAGCTAACTATACTTTATAAGATTAAAAAATCAAATTAACTGATAGAAGTTAGGTTTTGTGGAAATGACTAATTCCTCAAAACGTGACGAATGAAAGTTTGAATTTTCATTAGGGAGGTACCCACATTTAATATATAATAAATTCTCAAATAGGACTAGCCCAAAAAAAAAAGACATATATGCTTAACGAAAAAAATTCTAAAAACTTATATAGAATTTTTTTTGGCCAAAAAAAAACCTATATAGAATTGAAGGTGTATTTTTACCTTGTTTTTTGTAAGTAATTTGTTACTCCTCCGGTCCTAAATGTAAGACCCTTATAGTGTATAAGGGTCTTATATTTAGGACCGGAGGAGTATAACTCTTAGGAGGAGGCGGCTATCCTTGTCTTGGGGCTCATCGTTGGTGAGCAAGTCAACAGTATTCCACGTGCTTGCATATTATTATCCATAAATAATGTACGTACAGATCGATCGGATTACTTTTTTTTTTTAAGAAAAAGTTGTTTGGTTCTATATTTAAATTAAAGCACCACTTTTTGAAGGGTGAGATGTGAATCAAGTAATAATGAGATGAACGGTATTGTGGGGATTGGGGAACGATGCGGCTGCTATGGTATTATTGCATTATTTGAGTACAACTGGACGGGGGGAGCGATAGGGACAAGATAGTACTGTAAATTACGAGTATTACATATTTATTTGGTACGGATGGAAAATTCTCCTGTATGGATTTTTTTTAAATAAAATTTTGTTTTCTTCATCTGAAAATACTTTTATCCTTTTAAAAACAAATAATGTAAATAGCTACTATTAAATAAACAATTGAAATATAATACATATATTTTATATTTTATTTTTATATAATAAAAAAATCCATTCCATTGTATGTGCTACTTTTAACCCTAATTATAAGATCTCATTTGTAAATCTACAAACAAGGTCTTATAATTAGCACCAAAAGTAATATTAAACAAGGCTTAAAAGTTATACTATTCAAGTAGAATAATCAAGCTATCCAATAGAATTATAAATATTATTTTGACGTTACAAGTTTATGTTATTTTAATTAATATAGATATTGAAGATCAATCAAAAGATAAATAACACTTGAGTAAAAAAAAAAATCTCAGTAACTGGAACAAATAAATCTGAGTAAAAATGTGAGTATTTTACTCAGTTATTCTTTTAAAAGGTGTTATTGATTTTAGTTAAAAGTAATTTTACATATTTTTAATAATATTCACTATATTCTCATATACTACCTCCGGTCCTAATTATAAGACCCCGTTTGACTTTTTGTTTGGTCCTAATTATAAGACCCCAATCCATTTTGTCTCTCATATTTATGTATTTTTTTCCAAAATAATCCTTCTAATAATGATAGTTCTAGCCAATACACTTAATTAGCAAGGATATTTTAAGAATGACAACACTTATTTATTACAAATAACTAACTTAACTTACTTCCTTAATCTCCTCAAATAAGTCAACTGGGTCTTATAATTAGGACCGGAGGTAGTACTACACAACAAGGATAGTGAAGGTAGCATAAAATAATATCAGATTGAGATTGATTATTTTAGTTAATAAAACTAACATTAAAATCTATTTAAATTTTATGAAAACTTTATTTTTTGAAGACTAATTTAATTTCTTCTGAAGGCACTTTTTATTAAGTGTTTTTGAGGTTTCCAAGCAACCCAAAGTTGACGATAAGTTTGAGTAAGTAATAAGGTTTCGAACTGACAAAAGAAAAAAAAAGAAATAATTTCGGAAAGTACTAATAAAAGAGGGCGGCGGCAATCCATCTGATCAGGCTCGTCCTTAATGAACAAGAAGTCAAAAATACTGATTGCCACTATTTTGCCTATCTTTAATCCTTAGAGCCGCCTACTATGCTACTTTGATCTCTTTGTTCCCCATAATACAGTGCCGCCCCTTCAAAGTTTTATGCTTCTATAATTAAAAAATGACAACAAAAAAAATATAATACCAAATATTCACAAAGGAAAACAATTCGCAAATCACTTTTTCATATAATTCATCTCTAATAAATATATTTTAACTCAATTAGGATGTTAAAAACTTAAGTTAACAGAAAATGATATCTAAGAAATAGATATATATATATCAATAACATATAGAAGTAATTCATTTAAGAAAAACATATTTTATACTTGCTGCTGAACAAAATAATTATTATATGTATCCAATGCAATGTTTTAAAAGTAGGAATGGATGGTGAGAAAAAAACTAATAATTTTGAACTAATGACTTAATAATTAAACAAAAATTAAATAGAAAAGAATTGTATATAGATAATATATACACACACAAACACGCGCACGATAAACTTAATTAAAAACATAATAAGTTTTGAATGAAATAACAGTATATGGTTACAAATGGTCTGAAAATATATTGGTTTTTTTTTTAATAGGGTCAATTATTTTAAATTTTTTCTGGAAAAAATGTTTTAACTTTTTGATAGTTTATTTAAACTTTTTTTTTTCATTAGATCCATCCGACCTCTAAAAATTACTCTTATTCCGGTCTAATTTTGTATTTCACCTCCATAGCAGTTGAACCTCAGTTCAACCCAAATTAATCATAAAAATAATCTTTTGATCTAAACTAAGCCGTTAAGTCCGTTATAGTTCTTTCATCAAAGATCAAGGTAACATATTAAATGTATAATATAAATAATAAGTCAAGGTCAAGTTGGGCAATAAAAATTTGGACACTGGTTTTTTGTTAGGCACATTTTTTTTTATGTTAGAGACAATATAATTACTCCTCCGATCCTTAATATAAGACCTATTTAACTAATTTGATTAGATTAAAGAAGTCAGATAAATTATTTAACTATAATACATATTTCATGTTTTTTTTAAATATCTTAATTATCTTTATTATATCCTCTTTCCCTCTCATACTTAATAATAGTTGAGGAAGTATTAATAAGAGTGATTTGAAAAAAATTAATAAATATAAGAAATAAATATTATATTTAGGATAAAAATTAACTCCACGATTTGGTTTT